GGGGGGGGGAAGGGGGGGGAAGGTGATTTTTGAGTTGAGTCAAAAAGTTCCTGAATGAAGAAGGGGGGGAAGGGGGGGGGAGGGGGGGGGAAGGGGTGCAAATTTTTCGTTAACGGAAAGTTTCGGTTAGCATGAGAAGGAGGAGGGAAACAGGTGACTTTTGAGTCGACTCAAAAGAAGCAGGAGGGAAACAGGGGGAAAGGGATGTGGGGAGAGGAGAGGGGATGGGGAAGGAAAGAGTGGCTAATGGCCATAGTAAAAGCACAATCCATTCTGGGAGAGTGAGTGGTTGTCCGTTAGAAGTGAGAGCTCCTTTTAAATTCTTAGAATTGATTTGAACGAGGGACAAACAGTTCTATTTCTTTCCGTGCGACGAAAGAAATACACGGAACCGAACCATCCACCAAGAAAAGAAACTATGGCTCTGATGTTATGCTAGGCACCGCAAAATGCAAGGAACCATCCGAGGTACCGGAAACCGCCACGACACAATGGGTGGTCTACTCTTTAAACGCCTCGAAACCGTACGGTCTGACTGACTGGACGCAGACGGCATTTCAAGACTAGCTTTCTGGTGGGCCCTCTGCCCCGCCGTCCTCACAAAAACGCATTTTGCGGGAGCCTCAAATACAGTCTGACCAGAAAAAGATGCACTTTTGGGGACTTACTTTTCAGTGGGCCCTCGGGCCTGGCGTCTCGACAAAGAGGTCGTGGTCACAGAGGATGCGCAGGAAGTGCAGCTTCAGGGAGTGCTGGTTGGCCGCACACCATGCCCGCTAGCTGTGACAGGAACAGACCCACCTGGGGGGGAATGAGAGGGGGGGCCAAGAGGGAGATGGGACAGGGGACAGGGGACAGGGGACAGGGGACAGGGGACAGGGGACAGGGGACAGGGGCAGGGGACAGGGGACAAAGAGGGAGAGAGAGCAGTTGTGGTCGCCAGAGGATGCGCAGAAAGTGCAGCTTCAGGGAGTGCTGGTTGGCCGCACACATGCCCTGCTAGCTGCGACAGGAACAGACCCACCTGGGGGGAAAAGGGGGGGGGGGGGGGGGGAGAAGAAGGGTTGTGTAGAGAAAGGATGGTCAAAAGCATGACACAAGTGTCGTGGGGAGTCTGCTTTTGAGGCGCCTCAAAAACAGACCCACCTGGGGGGGGAATTGGGGGGGGGGGGGGGGGAGAAGGGTTGGGTAGAGGAAAGGATGGTCAGAAGCGTGACACAAGTGTCGTGGGCTTCGACAAGTCTCAAAGGTTTTCTTTCCAAAAAGACACTCTGACACGTCTCAAGAGACAGCCTGTATGCCTATGCACGTGATCAAGGTGAACTCGGCGTCAACTCAGAAGTCACCTCTATGCACGAGAAAAGAGAGAGAAAAGGACTGCGTACGTGTTTGGAATAGCCGTAGGCAAATCCAGGGGTTGCTCGGTTGAGAAGAAAAACACGTAAACGGATGCACTCTAAAGGCACTTATAGCCCACAGAAAAAGGCAGGCAGGGCGCTTACTCATTTCATCTGCGGTGCTACAATAAGTACTTAAGAAGAAATGAACTCACGAGTTCAAACACTTGAGGCGGGTCGACGACAGTGATGAGGTCGTAGCAGAAGAAGGCAAGGGAGTTGGTGAGGCGGCGCGCGAGCGGGTAGTCGGCGTCGGCCTTCTCCTGCACCTCCACCAGCAGGCACTCAAACAGCTGCCGGATGCACAGAAACACCTCGTCCTCCAGCCTCAGCCGCGCGATCTCATCGCCTGGTGAAATGCTCAGAGAAGGGGGGGGCAGGTGGGGAGGGGGGAAGATGTGGGGGGTGGGGGGATTTATGCATCAAGCATCTGAGGTGGGTGGGGAATTTCAACCAACAGTGCTCCCTAGACTAGACGACTCACCTGGAAGCACCTGGGGGAGCTCCACGTCACTTCAGCGTCCCATGCTCCCCACGCTAACGTCTCTCCATGCAGCAAGGAGGAAAGCCCCAACCTAGCCGGCTCACCTTGCGGCACCTGGGAGAGCTCCAGGTCCATGGACTTGGGGTCGGACCAGCCCAACTTACAACTAACTGTTAGAATATTCTCCCTTCATTCTATTAGCCTACATCGTTTCATTGTCTTAGGTACTTATAAGCACCCCACTAGGGTATATACACCCAAGTTGGGGGTTGGGTTCCCAAATTGGTTGGGCTCCCAATTATTGGTTGGAACCCCCAATAATCCCAACCAGGATTATTCGACCCACCAAATAATCTTGGCTAGGATGATTGGACTCCCAATAAGTTGGCCAACTCAACTTATTGGGGTCACCAATAATCGTGGTCACCTCCCAACCAAACCCCCCCTCCTGCTCCTCACCTATGTATACCCGCTCCTTTCCTAATCCAATCATTAGACATGAGCACGGGGCGAGGCGAGGATTCCTTGACCCGAGGATCTCATCCTCGCGCCCTAGCCGGGGCGGGTCGAGGAATCCTCGCCGAGGATTTTTCATGAAAATCCCCCCTCGACCCCCGGGTTTTGGGGTCGAGGATTGAAATCCTCGCCTCGAGGATTAATTCCTTGACCCGGGGCGAGGATTCCTTGACCTGGGCGGCTGGGGGGTTAGGGGGGGGGGGTAATGGGAACATCCTCGCCCATTTGCCTCGAGGAAAAATCGAGGCCTCGAATCCTCGCCGGGGCGGGGCGAGGAATCCTCGCGAGGAATTTCCCCAGAAAACCTGCCTCGACCCCCGGAATTTCGAGGCGAGGATTTCCGAGGCGAGGAAATCCTCGCCTCATTGCTCATGTCTACCAATCATGCCTTCAGTTTCTCACACTAACAACCACCGCTACAGCATCACAACTTGCAGCACACAGGAAGGGAGTCTTTTCTCACCTTGCAGCACCTGGGCGGCACTCACCTCGCGACACCTGGGCAGCACTCACCTCGCGACACCTGGGCAGCACTCACCTTGCGGCACCTGGGCAGCACTCACCTTGCGGCACCTGGGCGAGCTCCAGGTCCATGGACTTGACCACGAGCTCCAGCACAAACCACGCCATGGACAGCGCCTCGCTGTACACCGGACCTACTCGGAAGCCCCGGGACTGCAGGCTCGGGAAAAGGCGGAATGACAGCAGGGGGCGGTAGAGAAGTGAAGGGACAAGTTGTCAGGGATTGGTTGAACGGTCAAAAGTTTACCCAAAGCCGTAAGAACCTTGCTGACAGCATGCAGAGCAGACAGCACCTAATCACTACCCCAACCCTGACCCCTAAGCTGAGTACATTGCTGGGAGCACACAAACTGCACCTCAACCCCAATCCCTGAGAGCCCATTCCTGCGCACCTTGCTGCGGGCGAGGCTGCGCCAGACGTTGCTGAGCCCGGGGGTAGACGGGCGGCTGCTGCCGGCCGAGGTCGTCAAAGACGAAGTCCACAAAGTGCACCAGGAAGCGGTTGCGCGGGTGCTTGGGGGACAGCTCCGCCTGCACTCTGGTGTTCAATATGGGGGGGGGGGGAAGGGGAAGGGAGGGGAGGAGGGAGGGAGACCTTGAGTCGACTCAAAAGGACAGCTCCGCCTGAACTCTGTTGTTCAATATGGGAGGGGGGGTAAGGGGAAGGGAGGGGAGGAGAGGAGGGAGGGAGAGGACTGCTGGTGAAGGAGCCTTGATGCAATCAGACACAATTACTTCACACATGACTGCCTCCCAGTTTTCCCAACACTGTCCTCGCCACAATGCACTCAGACACGAATTCACATGTGGCGCACACAGCCATGGGTCACGCACTCTCAACCCTGTAGCGCAAACAGTTTCACATGGCACAAGAAAAGTAGCTGCACTGCACGCTTACCCCGCCATGCAGAACATTTGCACACACGGAATGCAGCACACAAGCAAGCAAGCAAGCTAGCCGTGGGTGGCCCCAAACCGCTTCCCAAAGCACTCACCTCGACACTATGTTCACCATGGCACGAAACGCCGTCACCTGCAGCGTCTCGACCCCATTGTCAATCATGCAGAGCAGCATGCTGAGCAGCGGTACATGAACTGCAGTAGCATACATCTGGTATCTGCGTCGCCCCCAAAACCTCTTCCCAGAAGCTATCACCTCGACACGACGCAACGCAACGCTCTCACCTCGACACAATATTGACCATGGCACGGAAAGCCGCCACCTGCAGCGTCTCGACCCCGTTGCCAATCATGCAGAGCAGCATGTTCAACAGCGGGTAGAGGAACTGCAGCAGCACCACCGTGTCCACCCCCTTGAGCCCATTAATCGACTCCAGCAGATCCTCCCGGGGCAGCGGCGCCTCCAGCACGTGGCGGTCGTACTGCTTGAAGAAGTCCCGCAGGCGGTCGGAGAGGGGGAGGAGGGAAGAGAAGAGGCGTGTGCGCATGCGGAACACGGGCTTGCCTTCCTCCCAGAAGGTGAGCTTCGCCTTGGTGCTCTCGTGCAGGTACCTTGGGAGCAGGTCCTTGGACATGGGAAGGTTCATCTCGCCCTTGAACGACCTGGTGGTGGGGGTTGCGGCGGGTGGAGTGAAGGGAGGAGGGGTGAGTGCACGTAATTGGATGGCACATGGATGATGAGAGCGTGAATGAATGCAAACCTAAACATGGGAATCAGAGGAAAGCACACAAGTGTACTTTTGAGTCAACTCAAAAGCATGGATGAGCACATGAATGCACGCACACCTAACATGGGAATCAGAGGAAAGCACACGAGTGTGTGCCCCATGCATTTGGAAGGGAAGGGAGGTGTTGTTGATGAGGGAGTTCCACCACGTCCATGCATGCGGACCAAGACACCACGTCCATGCATGCGGACCAAGACACCACGTCCATGCATGCGGACCAAGACACCACGTCCATGCATGCGGACCAAGACACCACATCCATGCATGCGGACCAAGACACCACGTCCATGCATGCGGACCAAGACACCACGTCCATGCATGCGGACCAAGACACCACGTCCATGCATGCGGACCAAGACACCACGTCCATGCATGCGGACCAAGACACCACGTCCATGCATGCGGACCAAGACACCACGTCCATGCATGCGGACCAAGACGCCTAGTGGGTTCACCGACTCACTGCGTGACAGCCGACAGAGGCATGACAGAGTATCCAACCACAACCTGCCACATCAGCAACGCACAACATGTCAACGCAAATCAGCATCCCCCATAAGCCCATTCTCAAATCAACAACATGCCCCTTTGATGCCTTTTGAGTCGACTCAAAAGTCAACATGCCCCTTTGATGCCTTTTGAGTCGACTCAAAAGTCAACATGCACCTTTGATGCCACAGGCTTGGATCAAACTGTGCCAGATCAAAGGGTTGTCAAGTCCGAGAGCGAGGAATTCCAGACACCGCTTACAGGTTTGGGGTCGGTCGGACTTGAGGGCACGGTCGATGTGGACGGAGGAGAAGAGGAAAGGGTGGCAGGTGAGCAGCACGGTGGCATGTTCCTTTTACAAGCTCACATTGCACCCCGGTATAAGCTCACCCTCATAAGCTCCCCCCTTCATTAGCTCGCCCTGTCCCCCTTATAAGCGTACCGGTTTGGGGCGGTCGGAATAGACGGCAAGGTCGATGTGGAAGAAGGAGAAGAGGAGGCGGTGGGAGGGGTCCAGCACGGCAGCATCTACCTATCACAAGCTCTCCCTGTCCCCCTAATAAGCTCGCCCTGCACCCCTATAAGCTCGCCCTGTCCCCCTTATGGACTCACAGGTTTGGGGCGGTCAGGTTCGACGTCAAGGTCAATGTGGAAGAAGGAGAAGAGGAGGTGGTGTGGGAGGGGAGCAGCACGGCCGCTGCACCCTCACAAGCACACCCTGTCCCCCTTACAAGCTCACCGGTTTGGGGCGGTCGGATTTGACGGCAAGGTCAATGTGGAAGAAGGAGAAGAGGAGGTGGTGGGAGGGCTGCAGCACGGCAGGCAGCTGGATCTTGAATTCGTCGTGGAAGAGCGACGGGCGCATGCCCATGGCCACCTGCGATGACGCCACGCGCTGCATGGCGTGGTCCCGCTCCCATGGGAAGATGGCCTGATGGGGAAAGGGGTTAGAGTAGATGTATCACCGTATCAGACCCCCGAGGGATACCCTAGCTATGGATTGGTCCCACTCCCATGGCAAAAAGGCCTGATGCTGGTGGAGGGGAGTTCGGGTGGGGAAGTGGGGGGAGAAAGCAGGATAGAAGGAGGGCAGCAGTGAAAGACGAGAAGGAAGGAAGGAAGGAAGGAAGGAGAGGGGGAAAAGAGGGCACACAAGAGCAGAAGTGAGCCCATCCTGCCCGAGGTGCCTGTCAAGACCATGAAGCGGACGACAGAGCACACTGCGTCCAAAGAAAAGCACAGCGTCTGACTGACTGCCCTCTCATGTTGGTCGCCCCCTGGAGTTGGCCACCCTATCCAGGCCGCCCCCTGGAGCTGGTCACCCTCTCAAGCTGGCCGCCCTCTCCTGGTGGCCGCCCCCTCATGCTGGCCGCCCCTTAAAGCTGGCCGTCCTCTCAAGCTGGCCCCCCTCTCAAGCTGGCCCCCCTCTCAAGCTGGCCCCCCTCTGGATCCTACAACTGACGAAGGCAGCCTCTACCCACCTCCACAGGGCAAGAAAGGAATTATCTTACCTCGAGCTGCGGGTTTTGAGGCGCCTCAAAACTAGTCTTACCTCGAGCTGCGGGCGAGAGGACTGGAGGTCGGCGTCGTCATCCCTCAGCTCCACGCGCACGAAGAGGTTGAGCTTCTTGGGCAGCGCCACGCTGTGCGGGTACACGAACACCAGGTGCTCCAGATGCGTGAACGGCTCCGCACGGGTCATATCCGTGAAGTCCAGTGCGTGGAACTGGTGGGAGGGGGACAGAAGGTGGGAGGGGGGTTTGGGAGGGGGGGAGGGGGGGAGAAGGGAAGAGTGGATTGGGAGGACAGGGAAAAGGCAGGTGAATGAACGGCTCCGCGCGGGTCATGCCTGTGAAATCCGGGGCCTGGAACTCATGGGAGTGGCCCGGAGGGGGTGGGGAGAAGAGTGGGGCCGGGTGGGGGTTTTGTGATGGGGAACTTGCCTGCGCCATGTTGGGAACCGATTTCATTTTGCAGCCTGGATACACTGCTTTGATTTTGATGTGTGGCGGGGCTGGATACACTGCGTCATCATGGCTAGCCCACGAAAACTCACCACGGAAACTTTTTTCAAAACGGAAAATCGCTGCATTATTGTTGGCATGCGAGCTCACCCCATTCAGCAGCCGTGAGATGGAGAAGGTGCGACTTAGCGCACCCATTTCCTCCACATCAGACCCAATTGACTCCATTGACCGCGTGTGGCCCATCATGGCGTGGCTGTGCGGGGTGCCGGACCCCCCCACCCCTGCCTGGGCGCCCTGCGAGAGGGCTGTGCTGCCTGGCAGGCGCTCCACCTCCACTTGCATGGACATGCGCACCGGCTTGTGCACCTTGCGCTTGGGATCCTGGTTGGGGAGGGGGGGAAAGGGGGGGGTGGGGTTGTAGGGGGGTGATAGTGGGGGGTGAGGGAAGGAGCAGGACTGTGCTGCCTGGCAGGCGTTCCACCTCCACCTCCATGGACATGCGCACGGGCTTGTGCACCTTGTGCTTGGGGTCCTGGTGGGGGGGGCTTGAGGGAGGAAGGTGGGAGTAATGAGGGATAAAGGGAGGATAGACAGAGGATATGATAGCTGGGAAAGTAGAGAAATAAGCGAAGCAAGGGGGCACAGCAACAGATGACCGGGCAACAAAAACCATTTGAAACCACGGTACATCCAAACGCCGCACAGCACGTACAAAGAGCTGGTCTTCAGTGTAGCACTCCTTCACCCGCTGCAGACAGGGGATGTCCACCTGCAGCGGACCCCCCAGCTCATACCGCGGAGCAGCGCCCCCCTCCCCCAGTGGCCCACTGTTAGTCCCCGGCGTTCCCGGCCCCCCTACCCCCTCCCCCCCGCCTCCGCCTGCCGCCCCTCCCAGCACCCCTGGTGTGCCAACCCCTGTGCTGCTGCCTCCAAAGGCGGTCGCCCCTCCTGTGGCTGCAGAGTCGAAGAGAGGGATGGTGGCGAACGCAAAGGCCTCACGGAATGGCATGCCCTGTGCGGGGGAGGGAAACGTGGGGTTTTTAGGGTTTGAGGGATGAGGGGATGAGGAGGTGAGTGGTTTAAGAAAGGAGGCGAAGGCAAAGGCCTCGCAGAATACATGCCCTGTGGCGGTGTGTATGGGGATGGGATGGGATGGGTGACGTATGGGGAAACGAGGGGAATCGATGCCTGAAGATTGGGCTGATTGGGATGGCAAAGGCCTCGTGGAATGGCATGCCCTGTGAAGGGGTGTATGGGGATGGGATGGGATGGGTGACGCAATAGAGGAACAAGGGGACGGATGGGTGATGATTGAATGGGCTGACACGGCAAAGGTTTCACGAATTGGCATGACGAGTGAGATGTTGCGAGTATGGGGGGGAAAGCGGGGGGTGGGGTGGGGTAGGCAGGTGACTTCTGAGTCGGCTCAATGTTGGGGAACATGGTCTTAGGATAGATTGAGAGAGAAGAGGGGATGAAGGAGAGGTGTGGTAAGGGAGGAATGGCTGACCTGTGCCCATTCGGAGAGGTGAGATGCCTCCCTGTCTGTCAAAACAGGCTGCACGGAGAACGGGAACCCAGCAAAACGGGAGGGAAGGAGGTGAATGGTGATGAGTAAAACAGGACACTACCACCAAAGAGAAGAGATCACAGCGATGTACAGGAACAGGTGTGGCAGCGGGTGTACACGGACGGACCCCTTGACGCCGTTTAGGCTCTCCTCCTCACCGGCTGCCCTACATTTTTATTTACCCTAGATTAACAGCGTGAAGAGCGCACTCACAGGGTCCTTTCTGGTGTACACGGACCCCTTGACGCCATTGAGACTTTCCTCGGTGACAGCCCGCTCCACCTGCACCAGCAGGCACAGCGCCGACGCCTCTCTCTCCACCGTGAATATCGCTCGCAGCTCCGGGGGCGTGCTCGCCTGATGCATATACGTACACATGGTTTTTTTGGGGGGGAAGGTGCCGGGGGGGGGGGGGGGAAGGGGCGGGAAAAGTGGTAAAACATTAACAAGGCGCTTGTGAGCATGACTATCGCTCCACCTGCATTAGCAGACACAGCGCCGACGCCTCCCTCTCCACCGTGAATATCCCCCGCAGCTCCGGAAACGAGCTCTCCTGGCAGAAACCACTTGGTGCGTTGTGGGGAGGAGGTGGGTTGACAGGAAAAGAGGCATTACAAGGAGTGCGAGAACGGCTATCGCTCCGCCTGCACCAGCAGGCACAGCGCTGCTGACTCGTTCGTGCCCCACCACTGTGAATAATGCACGTCGGGATCAGGGAGCGGGCTCTCCTGGCACTCACAGGTGTGGGTTTGAAGAGGAGGCGGGGAAGGAGGAAGTAGGAGAGGGAAGAGGGGGCGAGTTGAGCATATGACTAGACACGATTCGCCGTCCTACTATGGGGCTCGCACAGCTGTGCCTTCAGTACTCACCCCGTTCCAAGGCAGACCTTTGGTACTCACCCCATGTGTAACGAGTCGATTTTTGAGTCGACTCAAAAATCGACTCATTACACACGGACCTTTGGTACTCACCCCATCCCAGGAGAGCGGTTTTGAGGCGCCTCGAAACCAGCTGTGCCTTCCTCACCCCGTTCCAGGGCAGACCTTTGGTACTCACCCCGTTCCAAGGCAGACCTTTGGTACTCACCCCATGTGTAATGAGTCGATTACACACGGACCTTTGGTACTCACCCCATCCCAGGAGAGCGGTTTTGAGGCGCCTCGAAACCAGCTGTGCCTTCCTCACCCCGTTCCAGGGCAGACCTTTGGTACTCACCCCGTTCCAAGGCAGACCTTTGGTACTCACCCCATGTGTAATGAGTCGATTACACACGGACCTTTGGTACTCACCCCATCCCAGGAGAGCGGCAGGTACTGGAAGTGGAAGTCCTCTGAGACCTTCTCCTTCTTCTCCGTGTGATACAAACAGATGGTGCCATAAAAGGGCTCCACAAGGCCCGCCTGTACGTTGAACGACAGTATCCGCACAGAGAAGCGAGTACCTCTGGGGGGGGGGGAGAACGAGGGCAGGGAAAGCACGTGGGAGGGGAAGAGAGGATGCGGCAAGTAAGATTCTTGACGAGACCGTAAGCTCACCACAGGGAAAGGCAAGAAACAGACGCAGGTGGAGATGCCAATGCTTCGGATTCTCAGAAGCGCCCATGTGAGGAGACGAGGGAGAGAAGGCAATCGGCAGAGGCATGTGACGGAAGGAGGGAAGCCCCACGTACACTGTGCTGCTGACGATGGGCTTGATGGGCAACCGTTGGCCAATCACAGCCGCTCTCTCCGTTTCCCAGGTGAACAGGGGGTTATACGCCATGATGGGCGGCCCTCCGTAGTGCTGAGGGATGGCATGCAAGAGACAACAGGAAAGGAAACCAGGGAGCGTTTTCGTCTGAGTCTTTTTTTTGCTTCCGTCCGATTCAATGCCATGCTCCTACCCTACCCCCTTTCCCTTCCCTTTCTCCAAGGCCAAGCTCCGCACCTCTCCCCCGTTCCTTTTCTCGTCCTCCTCTCATCTACCCACCCACTGTCACGCCCTATAGAACACCAAATAGGTGCCATTGTGTCAATACGTGGCAGCAACTGTGTGATGACACCTGTGACAGGCCAAGCTCCGCACCTCTCCTCGGTTTCTTTTCTCGTCCTCCTCTCATCTACCCACCCACTGTCACGCCCTTCTCCCCTCCTCCTATCATGGACCCAACGCCATGCCCTTTCCTTCCCCCTCATCCCTTCTTCTCCCCAATGGCATGTCTCTTCTCGCTCGCTCTCCAGTTTCATGTCCCAACTTTTTGCCCCCCTCCCGCGTTTCTTCTCCCAATGCCGTGCTCCCTCCCTTCCCCCTGTTTTCCCAATATGAAGCTCCCCCTCGCCGCTTTCCTCTCCCACCATGGCCTCTCGCCTCATCGTCCGGGTCCTTGTTCTTCAGATACTGCTCGACATCTGCGCCGTCGTCCTCCCCATCGCGCCCCCCATTGGGCCGCCTGTGTTCTGAGTAGGGTGTATTTTGAGTTCACTCAAAACACGTCTGGACAAGTTCCCCTCGCCTCCAGATACTGCTCCACGTCCGCGTTGTGCGCCGCCTCAATACACACACATCCCCCCCCCCCCCCCCCTACCCCTCCCCAACGGCCTCTCACCTCATCGTCGGGGTCCCTGTTCTCCAGATACTGCTCCACGTCCGCGTTGTGAACCGCCTCAATACACGCGCATTCTTCCCCCCCTTATCCCCCCATGGCCTGGCCTCTCACCTCATCGTCCGGGTCCCTGTTCTCCAGATACTGCTCCACGTCCGCGTTGTGCGCCGCCTCAATACACACACATCCCCCCCCCCCCCCCTAGCCCTCCCCAACGGCCTCTCACCTCATCGTCCGGGTCCCTGTTCTCCAGATACTGCTCCACGTCCGCGTTGTGAACCGCCTCAATACACGCGCATTCTTCCCCCCCCTTATCCCCCCATGGCCTGGCCTCTCACCTCATCGTCCGGGTCCCTGTTCTCCAGATACTGCTCCACGTCCGCGTTGTGAGCCGCCTCAATACACGCGCATTCTTCCCCCCCCTTATCCCCCCATGGCCTGGCCTCTCACCTCATCGTCCGGGTCCCTGTTCTCCAGATACTGCTCCACGTCCGCGTTGTGAGCCGCCTTAATACACGCGCATTCTTCCCCCCCCCTTATCCCCCCATGGCCTGGCCTCTCACCTCATCGTCCGGGTCCCTGTTCTCCAGATACTGCTCCACGTCCGCGTCGTCATCCTCCCCATCGCGCCCCCCATTGGGCCGCCCAGGCCCCGCGGCGGAGCGGTCGGAGAGGGGCGCGGAGAAGAGCTGCGGGCGGAAGGCGGGGTGCGGCTGGCCGAGGAAGGCGCCGTACTTGTTTTCCACGTGCACCAGGTCCGCGTTCACGCACAGCTCCAACTCCCGCAGGTGCGGCAAGTCCTCCGCCTCGCTCAGCACCTGGGATGGGAAGATGGGGCTAGGGGTGATGGTTAGGATCAGGAGCAGGGGAAGGGTGATGATCAGGAGCAGGGAAGGCGCCGTACTTGTTCTCCACGTGCAGTGCACCAGGTCCGCGTTCACGCACAGCTCCAACTCCCGCAGGTGCGGCAGGTCCTCCGCCTCGCTCAACACCTGGTGGAGGAGGGGAGCGTTGAGCATCAGTGGAAACGTATGGGTAAAAAGTAGAGCTTGAGCCACGCAGACTAACTTCCAGAATAAGCGGATCTATGTGAGCGGGCTTAAGACTCACCTCCTCTTCTCGACTTCGTTGACCAAACCACAGCTCTGCTTGTGAAAAAAACTCACTCCGTCAGGCTTACCGGCGCCTCATTGAGGTAGCGCGGGCGGAAAAAACTGTTCCGCGACGTCAGCGCGTGCGACGCTGACAGGGCCATGCGCCACCACCCGTGACCGTCGTCGAGTCGACTCACGAGTCACCTTGGGCCATGCGCCGGCTCTCTTCCCACTTATCACGCCACACTTACTCCTCGTTCTCTCTCTCCTTCTCTCTTCTTCCTCTTTGTCCTCTCGCTTCGCATCCACACAGCACGGAAACCAGCACTATCTACTGGGGCTACCCGCAGCATGTATCCGATCGAACGTAAGTAACCGCATGGCGAGTGTTTAAGAATCTAGCTGAAGAGAGGTCTGTCTGGGAGACTCCGTGGAAAATGCAATCGCTCGATCGCGGATCGTGACAGCCGTGTTAAGTTGGGTCGAGTCTTCAAATGTAATCAAGCCGCATTGTCAGGTTGGGAAAATTACTGTCCAGAGCAGGTGGCTAGGACAGAGAGGTTCCTCTAACGCAGGCGCTTGGAGCTATGGCAGCGGAAGGCTGCACGCGGAGGGACGGAACGGCGACGACATGCTTCATGGTACAGCTCTAACGAGATTGGGCTATGGCGTGAAGCTTATTCGTCACTGGGGTAGTGCAATCATTTTCGTACCCTAGAACTCAACTCGGAATAATCCGGCGAAACGATGCCCTTCGAGATAACGCTCCGTGTTAAAAGGTGACTTTTGAGTCGACTCAAAAGTCACCAAGCTAACGCTCCGTGCTACTGCTATAAATACTCGAGGTGGGAGAGGAATAGTGACGGCTGTGAGGAACACGCATCATACAGACGAGGTCTACGGAATGTAAGAGCTCCAGCCAGCAAATCCAAACACTGTTTCTGAAATGCGTCGCGCGTTTGTAACTGAGGAACCAAACTACGCCGTGTGTCCGTCAAATTAGGGCGTCGTAAGCTCTCGTCGTAAGAGACAGGCTGAGCGAGCACAAGCTGTCCTGAAGAGCCGACAAGCTACTAGTACACTGATGTTTTTCCGTGAACACGGCGGAGAGCAGGAGTCAGGCTGGCTGGCTGGCTTGCTGGTAGGCCCTCGAGAATGGCGAACGAAAAGAGGCGACCAGCTGACCGACCACAGGGTTGGCCGCGCCGATCACTGCAGGTTGGAACCTCACCCCCCTAGTCAAGGGGAGTCATCCGCGGAGCGGGCGCAAAAGCAAGGGGGGGGCGCTCTTGACAGGGTGCGTGCAGAACATGCGGGGTCGAGAACCGCACTGCAACGTACAGATGTGCAAGTAGGGAAAATCTTACAGAAATGGCTTCATCAATTGATCAAACTAGAAATATGGTAGTATCAATCTCTTCCATGCTTGAAATCATGCAGTATATTCTATCAATCTCGTCCATCACACATCGCATTAGAACTCACGCTCCTCCCCATCATATCCAGCAACCTCCAGCTTCCTCTCTCCAAAGAAACCATCCCATGGCAGAACATGCTCCGCCGTCCTTCTAGCCGTCACCACCAATCGTGGCAACAGCATCCCCACCTCCCTTGCAGCTAGCCTTAAATCCACACTGACAGAACCACGTTCACTTCCTCCACAATCCCCCATCCCACTCTTGCTTCCACCCCTCTTTCTCACCCTCCAATCATCCCCAACAATGACTTCAGGAGACACCAGCAGCCGCCGCAGCCTAAAATCCTGCAATCCAAAATTCCTTCCCAGTTCCACCCTCCCCTGATAATGCCCCTTCCCCTCGTCCACGACTCTCTTCTCCTCATAGTCCCCATCCTCCTCTTTCTCCACTTCAGCTACCCCATCCCTGCACTCCCCACTATCTCCAGCGAGCTCCTTGGCTGCTTCCAAGAACGCCAGCAGGAGGGAGGGCGAAACCCCAGGGCAGCCATACAGGTCCAGCAGAAGGAGCCGTGGCAGGTGCAGCTGGAGTGTAGCAGCGGACGCGCTGCCTGCACCAGCAGTGGGGCCAGGAGCAGGTGAAACTTCAGGAGCACCCCCAACAGTAGCAGCAGCGCCAGCACTGCTGCCAACAGCGGCAGCACCCACAGCAGCAGCTCCTGGCCAGGTGTCGCCAAACAGTGCCGCCACAACAGCAGCATCATTCACCGCTGTCCGCGCCAGCCTCAGCATCTCCAGCCGCCCGCACCTCCTCGCCAGCTGTCGCAGCCCCACTGGCCCCACGTTCACGCAGCCGCCCAGGCTCAGCTGCTCCAATCGCGTGCATCCGTTAGCAATCGCTACCACCCCGGCATCGGTCACCCGTGATTGGATAGGGGGGAGGGCCACTCGCAGGCAGGTCCTAGCTTGGGAGGACAGGCAGTATTGACGGGAGGGATTGTCGCGGGCATGCATACTGAAGTGAGGAGGCCTATTGTCAAAAACAGCCACAAACTGCGCCAGCGGCTGGGCGTGCAGGGCGATGAGCTTCGGGCAGGACTGCGAGATTTCCGTCAGAATGGCGTCTGACGCCAAGGGAAGGGCGAGGCGTTCTAGGAGGGGGAGCGACCGGATGGCTTGGCAGAGCGCCTCCTCGCTTTGCTCCCACTCAGCCGAGCTGCCGTGGGGCTGGGATGAGGGGCTCAGAGCTTTCGATTGGGACAGATCCAGAGTGGTGAGGTGGCGGAACAGGTGGCCAACGAGCGGCCACGTGGATAGGGGTGCATTTTGGGCGTGTAAGGAGCGCAGAGGGAAGGAAGACGGACGGGGGAGAGGCAGGCTGACGCCACTACCGCGGTGGCTGCTGCTGCTGTCAATGCTGCTGCTGCTGCTGCTGCTACCGCCACCGCCGCTGCTGCTGCTAATGGTGCTCTTTTCCGCATCAGTGGCCGAGCAGCCAGCACCCAAGGCGTGCAGGAGCGAGGAGGCGCGAGGCAGGTGCCAGGAGACGGAGCGGTGGGGGGCGGTGTACAGACGGATGGAGGAGAGGGACGGAGCGAGGGACGAGCCCGAGGGGCATGAGAAGAGATCGGACTCGCGTCCCGCCTGACGCGAGGAGCGCGGATCCAAGGCGAATGACACGAGCGAGAGGTGCTGCAGGGAGGGGAGGAGCGCGAGGAGGAGCGCGACCGTCTCCCAGGTGATGCCGTCGGACCAGAGGGAGAGGGCTGCCAGGTGGGGGAGAGATGCCGCGAGCTGTTCTATGGACTCGGGTTTAAAGTCCGCTGGTGTGTCGAGGTTTAAGGAGTGGAGATTGGGAAGGAGGGAGGCGACTGATTGGAGGAGGGGGTCTGTTAGGAAGATGGGTTGTGGCGGGCGGAAGGGGATAGGGGGGAGTGGTGGGGCGGGTGGTGGAGGGACAGGGGGACTGTGAGGGGGAGCAAAAGGAAGAGAAGGAGGAGGAGGCGGAGGAGGGGGGAGGGAAGGAGGTGAGGAAGGTGGAACAGCAGGAGGAGGAGGAAGAGGAGGAGGAGGAGGAGGCGCGGGTGGCGGAGGGTTACGAGGCGTTGGCGGAGGTGGCGGAGGTGGCGGAGGTGGCGGAGGTGGCGGAGGTGGCGGAGGGGCACGAGGAGGAGGCGGAGGTGGCGGAGGGGCACGAGGCGGAGGCGGAGGTGGCGGAGGGGCACGAGGAGGAGGCGGAGGTGGCGGAGGGGGGAACCTGGTCGAGCCCGCGTATTGAAGGCCATCCCCTTCACCCCACACGCGATCGGTCCTCGTGCTCAGCACCTCTTCATCCCCCTTCTCGCGATGAATGAAACACACGCTTGGAGCAAACACGAGCGGATCTGCGCACGCTGCAGGGCAGAGAAAATGCTCCGAGCGGAGATTGAGGGACTTGAGCTGACGTGGCAGGGCCGGTAACACCACCGTGGCGAACTCTGATTGGGTCATGGGAAGCGACCCTCTTCTCGGGCAATTCTGCTCGACGCAACTGACCAGCGATAGGGACTCGATCCGCGACGCGTTGCGAAGGATTCCCACAATGCCATCGGGAGTCAGCTTATCCTTTTCAGAGGAGATTAAGTTCCTCGCGCCGGGACGGATCTCCAAAGAACGGAGTGAAGCCGCGAACCGCGTCGTCAACTCGAGCATCTGCGCTTCGGAGTCGAAACTACCGAGGACGCTCTCAAGATTCGGAGCTAAGCTCTCGAGCACGAAGGGCGACGGACGGAGCGATCGCACGCACACGCGCAGCGCGAGGCGGCACCAGCGGCGGCAGACGAAGGCGGCGGAGGCGACAGCGAAGCGCGAGGGGAGGAAGGAGAGGACGAGGGAGAGAGTGCCGTCGTCCAGCAGGGAGGTGGGAGACGAGCATTCCGCAGATGAATCCGATTCAGCGATCGGCGAGTCGCCGCGACCGGCGGAAGCGTCGGAAAGCCCTTTCATGATGTAACGCGCAGGCCGGTCCAGTGATGGTCGTTTGTGCGAGGAACTTTTGTCGAGTTCGGAGTGGTGTAGCGAAATGTTGCCGCCGGAAGGAGTCACTTACGGTCGCGCCTAGAGCAGAGATAAGCGTGGCGAAGGATGACCACGAAGCTGGGGAATCGCCGACTGATTGAAAATATAAGCAAGAGGGATGTGCGAAGGAAGTGATGAGATAGCAGCAGAACTGACCGTAAGTGACTACGGACAGATAGAGAGCTATTGTAAAATGCCTTGGGAATGGATGATGGCTGGCAAGGATGAATGGATGGATGGAGCAGCAGAGCAGGAGGGCAAGGATGGATGTGTGTGTGTTCGCTCATGGGATTAACTCTGAAAAATGTTTTCCCGCGCCCTGAGAACTATCTGGCCTTAACATATCGAACGGTGGAGAATGAGTTTGCTGCAACATATAAACGGACAAGATTCTTCAATCGTACTGGGTGTTGGCGGGAGCGCGATGCCAGGTCCGCCCTGCCGTAGCCAATCCGGTTCGGCTGGAAGGACTCAGCAGAGCTTTCGCCAAACCTGCCAGTTCGGCGAGAGCTGCCAGGCCACCAGGTCACGGCAAGGGCGCGGACAATTGTCCTTGGCTTGGGGGTCACGTCACGATCACGCCACGTCACGGCACTGGTGCTTCAATTCAGCTCACGGATGCATGTCAGCATTCACACACCAAAACCAAAACAACCGTCTCATGTCCGAAACAACTGAAATAGCATTCGCACAACTGTACAAGCATTTAGGGTGACCTGCACCTGCAGGGCTGTGGACTACTACCGCGTACGACTACCTCCAATGGCGAGCAAGGAAGCTAGAACAAAGATTCCCGAATCCATACTGGAATGGCCTGTTTCGCGAAACGCCAGCCGCCATGTCGACTTACAAGCAACCCATAGGGCAGAAGCGCCTGACGAATATCGCGGTCGTGAGGCTGAAGAAGTGCGGGATGAGGTTCGAAATCGCGTGCTACAAGAACAAAGTGGTCTCATGGAGGACACGCGTGTAAGCTTCCATGCGACTATCTTCCCTCTGCGCCGCGCTGTTTCGTTTTTTTGAAGGCGTGGCATGCCGATGTGAATCCGCTTGCTCGGCGACACTTTCCCAAACCTTGAGGTCCCTATTTCGCCGTCGGGCTTTCCGTACCCGCTGCTTTCTTTTACTCGTTCATGATTGGTCTGATTTTCAGCGAGAAGGCTTCAGACGAGGTACTCCAGAGACGGACGGTGTGTTCCAAACGGTGGTCTCTGTCCCCTGTGCGTTGTTTTGATCGTTGAATTTTGGTCTGATTTCCAGCGAGAAGGATCTGGACGAGGTGCTTCAGAGCCAGACGGTGTTCTCCAACGTGGGGAAGGGCACCCTCGCAAAGTCCAAGGACCTCGTCGCAGCGTTTGGCACGGACGACCAGGAGAAGGTGTGCCTCGAGGTGAGCCCCCTGACGGCCGTACGAGGTCCATGTGCGGATATATATTGTTTCCAATCCTATCAGCATAAATTCATTTTTTCAATATTTTGCATGTCTCGCCGACATTCAGGAGCCTCCATGACTCAACCTCTGTCGTCTCAAAACAACCTTCAACCGGAAAGCCTGAACCAAAAAACCTTGAACCAGAAACCCTGAATTGGAAACCCTTGAACCTGGAACCCTGAATTGGAAACCCTTGAACCTGGAACCCTGAACCTGAAGCCATGAAAGCCAGCCGGTCCAGGGACCTCCATTGGTGGTATTGTGTACTTATTAGGACCCCTCCTTCCTGCAATTTCTGTATGCCATGCAGATTCTGGAGAAGGGGGAGTATCAGGTGTCGGACAAGGAGCGGGAGATGCAGGCATCCTCGTTACTGAGGGACATCACGTGCCTTGTAACGGAGCGGACAGTTAACCCTGAGACGCACCGGCCGTATCCTGTGGGCATTGTGGAGAAGTTCATCCGCGACATCCACTTCTCCGTCGACCCCAACCGATCCTCCAAGCAACAGGCAAGTCGATTGAATGGGGTACGCAAGCGATCCTCCAAGCAGCAGTCAAGTGGGCAAGCGGCGGATCAGGCAAACTCAATGTCGCAGGTGCATCTGTATTGAGTCATTGGGGCTATTTTTCTAGTTCATTGCCATTAGTTGCGTGTCCTAATGCCCATTCTCTTCACCACACGGCATGCAATGCACTGCCAGGCCCTGGATCTGATCCGCCAGCTGGCGCAGCGCTTCCCCATCGCCCGTGCACGCATGGAGCTGCGCCTCGTGCTGCCGTCCGCTGCGCTGCCCTCGGTGCAGGCGGAGCTGCAGCAGATGGGCGCGCTCATGCGCTCACAGGCGCAGCCAGTGGACAACACACCCGCTCAGGTCTCCTTGGTAAGTTTCTTTGCCTCGTGCGGCTGTGCTGCCGTGCTGCCGTCCGCAGCGCTGCCTTCAATACAGGCCGAGTTGCAGCAGATGGGTGCACTCATGCGCTCGCAGGCCCAGCCAGTGGACAACACACCCACGCAGGTCTCCTTGATATGTCGTGTCTCAGAGTCATGAGCCATCTCAAAACAGCCTCACAGCCTCACATTCTCTGCATGGCATGCATCTCCTTTCCCAGGGGGTCTTTCCAGCTTGCCCCTTGCTTTTTGTCGCAACCGTCCGCACAGTCTTGTTAAATTGAGTCCGAGCCACTCCGTTCGCCATCCATATGCTGCCTTCTAGCAGGTGAATTCTGAGTGGGTTCTAAGCACATGCACCTCTTTTTCCCTGTGCTGCGTGCTACCAGGTGTGTCAGATCGAGCCGGGTCGGTTCCGAGAAGTGGATTCCCTTATGCAGAGAGTGAGGGGGCGGCTGGAGGTGCGGGCAGCAGCAGTGCAGCAGGAGGGGGACCTGTCCTTTGACTCCCTCGACGAATCAGAAGCGACGGTTGCTGGCACTGCCATGACTGCTCATGGGGGGGGGGCAGCAGCGGGCACAGCAGAGGATAGGGGAGGCCAGGCTGGAAGGGATCAGGCTGAGCGCGGGGTAGAGGCTGGGGGGAGGAGAGGTGTAGGGGCAGGAGAGGCTGGTGGGGTTGCAAGGGATGCTGAGTTACAGGCAGAGGCAGCTGCTAGAGCATTAAGGCAAGTGTCGGTGGTAGATGGAGCAGCAACAGCAGGAGGTGGTGGAGTAGCAGCTGCAGCAACTAGTGGGGGAGGTAAGGCGAGCGGGCGGCAGCAGCGATGCAGTACATGTGGAGATGGGGCGACCTTTGACGACCCGCGGTTGTTCCGCGAGCACATGAAGTCGGATTGGCACAAGCACAACATGAGGCGCAAGGTGAGGGGCATGCCGCCGGTGTCTGCGGATGAATGGGAGGCGGACACCAGCCTACTAGCTGACGAGGCGCATGATTTGCATGAATATGAGAAGTAGATCAAGCATGGATCTTGTAAGTGCTTGTGGCTACATAGTTTTACCTAGTTATCACAGTGGAGGAATGTAAATGGGGCTTAGTGTTAGTGATCTATTTGCCAAAGATATTTTGCAACGAAGTAGTAGAGAGTTTCATTGTCTCGAGGTAATGTGTTGGTTCCAGCGCTTAGCCGCGTCATCGGATGCACTTCTGTTGAGACTTCGGCGTTTTCTGCGACATGGTGCAGCATTTTGTGACCACGCGGGCCGCCTTCCGCCCAGGTTGGCTGCGCTGACGTGATCTATTCTGTTTGGGCGTCTGTCGCTCCCTGCTGTCCTGGCGAGAGATGACGTTTCTCCTCGCGGTTCGGGGGGGCATTCCTCCACCCCACTCTGTCAAGGACTAAGTGGGGTTTTGGACTCGGATGGGTGTGAGGGGGATACGGTTGTGGGGGGCGGGTGGGGTAAAGGGGTCGGTGGCTGGGATCAGACATCCCTCTTGCGATCAAATCCATAACTGGTTTCATGCATTCCTGTACGCAATGCGAGGGGGAATTGAGTCGATTGGATTGGTGGATGGTTTTTGGCTTCAGGCAACGCGGACCACCCTTCGCACCGTTTAGACTAGACACTGTACTGTACTCATGGCAGTTGTACACCGTATTTAGCTTTGGAAACATTGAATGAAAAAGCGACGCGCTCTAGTTCCCCGAAAGGTCAAAACCTGGGGCAAAACCGTCTCTAACGCGAAAAACGTTCAGGAAGTGTTCAACGCGTACGTTTTTTTTTTTGCTGAAGTAGAGTTTGGTAAGTACTAAAAAAACGCCACAAATATGTACCATTTAGTGTAAATGAGATAACTTGTGTAACCTACCGCGCGAATGACTCCGGGTGGACACGTGTTGCCGAAGGGTGTGCACACGAGCAGACGGTAAGTGGCAAAGCCGTGCATATTGCAACCAGCACAGAAATTGTCGCCGGCAAAAAAAGAACTGCCCAGCTAGTGAGCGTAGTTCCTGACGAAGCAAGTGTCCAAGATTTTCTGCACACAAGGTTTTCGCATATGGCGAATAGGATTTGTGGTATCTAGTTTTCGCATGTGCCTTTCAGAAGTGCCTCTGTACATTTTCGCCAGTTCTCCTTTTTTCATGTAAGGGTACAAATGGGATACACGACGTGTTTTGTATCACGAAATGTGCATGTCCGCGTAGGGGTCGAACTTCAATGTTCACAGTGTTTCGTGTGAACTGTATTCAACCGGGAACGCAAAACGTACGCGCTGGATATGCTTTTATAAGTAGTATCCGAGGCGTGTTTGCTAGTTGGGATCACCTAGCCTGTGGCAAATCCACGTCAGTAATTAACAATCTCATATCACGGTGAAGCTATTGTTATAACCTATTTGCATAATGAAACGCAACGCAACACACAATTGAAACAAGCATTGCCACTCCGGGGGGTCTGAGTGTATCGCTATTCGAAATCGGGCAACCATTCGATACGGATTCCCTCATGTCGCGCTTCGAAGGTTTTACTAAACCATGCGACATAAGTAGAGAATGTTGACATGTTCTATTGTATTTTCGTGAAATTCGTAGGGCTATTGTAACACTCGCGACCCAAAGAAATATGAGGTGTACAGTGATGAACTAGTTATGATTGCGGTCGTTCTTGTACAGCACACTGACAAATTGTAGGACTACTGCACAAGTTCTCTCATTTCCCTCCCCGTTCTCCTCACACTTCCCCCTCCTCTCCTCCCTCCCCAACTCCAAACACGAACCGACAATTGCAACTCGCACTCAGGACTTCTGCATCGCGCATCCTCGACAAGAAACGAGAGGTGGAAGCGGGATCACGAGCGAGGGTGTGATCCATGACGGCATTTCACATCTGAGACTACCGTGAGCCATTTCGTGGGCCGAAACAGCACAGTTCTGTATCTGCTAAGAGTAAGGCACTCCTGTTGGGGAGCCTTCTGCTGGCACGCCCGAAATGGCAGCAAAAGGCAACTTTAACTTGTAGTTACTAACGCGCACAACGCGCCAGGCCTTGGCGCTGCGCCTATGGAAGTGTCGCGCCGGAGTAGTACAAACGAATTGACGTCGCATGCAAGCATGCGACCATCGCGCGACGGGCTCGTGCGACAAACCTCGGGCGGCGACGGTCTCGTGCGACGGGCCCAAGGGATGAACCTCGGGCCACGCGGGTCGCCGCGAATCGCAAGCGACGTCGTCCCGTCCGTCGACTGGTCGTCGCGCGAGAGCACTCCTCTCACCAGACCGCTGGCCCCCGACGGCGGCACGCGCGGCGAAGTATCGAGCGATTACGATCCGTCACAAGATCCTAATCTCATTCCTACTACTTGGACTAATCGCACCAATGCCGTGCGTAGTAGTAGTGCTAACTCTAGTACCATGGCAGGACCTGCTGCTACTAGCAGCAGCTCGATTGGCTCGTTCGGTTCCCTACTGCGCGGCGCCGTCGATACGAAAGCCGCCGCCGCCGCCGCCGGCAACTCACCGGCGAGGTGGTTGCCGCCGATGACGGAGGCTGACGTGGCACTGCCAGGCGACAGCGGCGCCGCCGGATATGGCGGTGTCGGCGGATTTGACTCTCCTCAAACCGCCGGATTTGACGGAGAGATGATATTTTCACCCGTAGCGTCTTCTAACGGCAGCGTTATTATGGCTCTCCCCGCGCTGCCGCACCGCAGCGGTGCTGATAGCGGGGCTGCGCTTATCGGGTATGAGAGTGGCGCCGGCGTTTACCCTGCCGGCCCCTTATGGACCCCCAGCGACACGACCTCCGATTCCTCCGCGCTTCGATGGCAAAGCTTCGCTACCAGTAGTACTAGTCCTAGCAGCGCCCTAACCAGCAGCGCTGTTACCAGCACTGTAACCAGCACTCCTAGTTACGGTGTAACCGGTTGCATGCCCAAAGTAGTAACCGGCTCTCCTGCCGGTATCGGCGCGCGCAACCCGCAATCCGCGCAAATTCAGCGCGGCTGGGCGCGGGGAGCGCCGCCGGAACCAGCTGGGTGGGTGCTGGAGGCTCCGCTGGCGGCGGGAGCCGCCCCTGCCCCGCCACTGGAGGAAGACTACTGCGCGCAAAAGGCGCGGAGCGGGGAGTGTAAGGGGGAAAACTGCGCGGGAAGCAGCGGCAGTGGCAGCGGAAGCGGGGAGGGAGGCAGCTGGCGCGGAGCCATTGGCGGCAGTGCCACGGGCGGTACTGCCGTCTCTAGGGGCGGCGGCGTTGCCACCAACAGCAGCAGCAGCGGTGGCGGCGTGCGGCGGTTGCGACACTCGCAGAGTTACAACAGCGAGAGGACCGCTGGTGCAAATGCCTTCGAGCTACAATCTCTGTCGCGGCTACAGTCGCTGTCGAGATTACAGTCGCTGTCCCGTCAGCAGCCACAGCAGCAGCAGCAGCCTGGGCTACAGCCGCTACAGCAGCAGCAGTCCCTGCCGCCGTCTCAGCCGCAGCTACAGCCGTCGTCACGGAGGCAATCGCTACAGTCGCCGCAGCTACAGCCGCCGTCTCAGCCGCAGCTACAGCCGCCATCTCGGATGCAGTCGCTGCCGTCGCGGTGGTTCGGGAAGATAGACGAGAGCGGGGAGATGGGCGGAGAGTGGGACAGCGCGGAGGGGGAAGGGGAGGAGGGGGAAGGGGAGGGGAGAGAGGAGGAGGAAGAGGAGGAGCAGGGAGAGGGGGGCGGAGTGGTGGATGGGACGGGACAGCCGGAAGAGCTTTTTAGGAGCCGGAGCGAACGGACGAATAGGGTAACCAGCCGTTGTGGGGTTTCAAAAAGCAGCTCGGTGCAGGTTGCGAGCAGGCAGGGCGGGTGGAGCGGGGAAGGGCGAAACTGGGGACAGCAGCAGCAGCAGCAGCAGCAGCAGCAGCAGCACCAGGGGCGGCGGCGCCGGCAGCAGCAGCAGCAGCAGAAGCACGACCGGTTACCGGGTCAGGTTCGGTTCTCGGGTGGAGAAAAGGCTGATTATAACGGGTTGCGCCAAGGCGAAGATGCTTATAACGGGAACGGTTTTGGCGAGGGTGTGGGGGGCTCGTCGTCCGCGCGAGGCTCGTTCGCGCGGATGCACAAGTCCCGAAGCAGCGGAAGCCTGGTGGAGGCGGGATCTGAGGACGGACGTTTCGAGGGAGGGTATGGAAAGCAAAACCTGGGGGAGGCGGGTGCTGGGGAAGGGCGATGGGGGAGGGAGGGCGGTTGGGAAGGGCATGGGGGAAGCGGGAGGGGGGGTCGTGAGGGGACGGGGAGGGAGGGGAGTTTGGATGGTGGGATGGAGGGGGTGTGGAGGAGGGGGGGGAGGGAGAGTGCAAGGGGAGCGGAAGGGAGGGGAAGAGGAGCGGAAGGGAGGGGAAGAGGAGCGGAAAGCGAAGAGGGAGGGGCGCGGAGGGGGAGGGAAGAGCAGGGGGAGGAGGCGGAAGAGGAGGAAGTGGAGGAGGAAGAGGAGCGGGGGGAGTGTTCAGCGGAGGAGGAGGAGGATAGCGAAGGGGCGGAGGGGCAACGAGTGGTGTTCTTTAATGACACGGACGGCAGCGCTGATGCTGATGGGCGTGATGATGGGCATGGGCATGGGGATGGGGATGGTGGCTATGGGCATGGGGATGGGGATGGCAGCGCTGATGGTGATGAGCGTGATGATGGGGATGGTGGCTATGGGCATGGGCATGGGGATGGTGACTATGGGCATGGGAATGCTGCTGCCCATGGTGGGGAGAGTAGACAGGGGAAGAGACGTGGGAGGAGGCGCAGGAGCGGGAGTGCCAGAGGGGAGAGTGTGAGCAGGAGCAGCGGCAGCGGGTTTGAGAAAGGCATGAGCGGGAGCATGGGGGGAAGCACGGGGGGGAGCATGGGCGGAAGCATGGGGGGGAGCATCAGCGGGAGCGTGGTAGAAAAGATGGGGGGCAGTATGGGGGGAAGCAGCGCGGGAGGAAGCTTTCGGGGGAGCATGGGGGGAAGCATTGGCGGAAACATGGGGGGAAGCATGGGGGGAAGCATGGGCGGCGGTGGCAGTGTGGAGGAGATAGAGTACCCCCTGTCCCCCCGCTCTCTCTCCGGGCGCTTCCTGGGGATGGTGCTGGAGGAGGTCGCTGAGGGGGAGGAGGAGGAGGCGCAAGGGGAGGGGGAGGGAAGGGAAGATGCGGGGAAGGGGAAGCAGCAGGGTTGTGCAGGCGGCAGCAGGCAGAAAGGCACAGGGGGGCGCCAAAGCCCCTTTCAGCAGCAGCAGCAGCTGCAGCAGCATATACTCTTGAATCGGCCGCGCACCGGCGAGTCGATGGGCAGCGAGAGGCGCAGCTTCGACCGCTTCCAGGAGGAGCTCTTTCAGGCGCAGCGCTCCGAGGTCTCCACCCTCTCAGGTCGATCCGAAGGAACGCTCTCAGGCCGGTCCGAGGGGGTTTCGACCCAGTCAGGGCGGTCCGAGGGGGTGCTCTCAGGGCGGTCCGAAGGGTCCCTGTCCGACTGGTCGGAAGGGGAAGGGGCGCAGGTTCCGGCCAGACGCTCCTGCTCCGCACGGGAACTGGAGAGAGCTGACTGGGATGGGGAGGTGTCTGCAGGAGAGGCGGAGGTGTTGCCACGAGAGGGCCAGAGCAGGGCGCGGTTGACGCAGACTTGGGCGAGTAGCGTGGAGCAATATGGTGGGGATAGGAGGGGCGGGGCACAGCGGTATAGCAAGGAGGGAGGAGAGAGGGAGAGGGCGGTTGGGGGAAGGAGTGGGGCGGGTTGTATGGAGGGGGAAGCAGAGATGCTTCAGGGTGCGAATCTGGAAGATGAATACCTGCCGCTCAAGAGAGGGCCTGGGTGGTCGCCCCAACAGCAGCAGCAGCAGCAGCAGCAGCAGCAGCAGCAGCAGCAGCAGCATGGTCGTCCACTTGAGATGATGGGAGATGCACAGGAGGAGCCAAGGGCGCATGGGCAAAGGGTGGTGCTGGAGGCTGAGGGCCAGGGGGAGCAGGGCGGGGGAGTACAAGGGGCCGAGCAGCGAACAGACCGGCCAGGGATCCAAACAGGGATCTTTTGGCAAAGAGGGAATGAGGGGATTCGAGAGGTGCAGCGTGAGGAGGAGTCCAGTCGGGAATACGAGCAGGTGACACGTGGAGCCGCTGAGGTGCCGCACGAGCCGCCCAGTGGGTCGAGCTTGCCGCCCGATGGGTTGTGTTTGCCACCCGATGTGGCGTGCAACTCGGTGCTGATTCCCAACGAGATGCGCATTGGGGACGAGCTGGCGATCCGATTCTCCCTCACCAACAACTCGCCCCACCCGTATGCACACCACGCCACGTCATCACACTGTTCCCAGCATATGCCACGTCATCACTCTGTTCCCAGCATGTGACGGTGCTTCCTCACAGTGTCGCATCCCCATTGTGACTTATGTCAGCACCACGTTGCCTCGCTCGCTATGGTCTATGTCCTTGGTGGGTTGTTGTACTCGCTGCGATGAGACGCGACGCGACGCGGCATTTGCATGCATGGCCCACTCCGCTCACTCCCAGCATTTGCACATGATTCACAGCAGCACATGCATTGGGAGGCACCATGTCACCTCCCTCGCCTCCCTCACCTCCCTCACCTCCCTCACCTCCCCCACCTCCCCCACCTCCCTCACCTCCCTTTGGGTGGTCACACTCTCCTGTTATTCCCCCACCTCTCTCACTCCCCTCTATCGTCTCTTCCACTCTTTCTTCCTCCCTCGCCCCCTTCCCTCCTCCTCCTCACTGCCCGCCTCCCTTCCCATCCACCCCAGCATGGATGGAGAGGTGGAGGTGGTGGCAGCAGTGGAGTGGGCCGGTGAGAGCGACAGAGAGGGCGACAGTGGGAGGGGAGCTTTCACCCCGGCATCAATCAAACGGGGGAGCGATAGAGGAGGGAGGCGGCAGAGGAGGGAGAAGCGGGAGTTCCTGCCGCCCCTCGCGCCCCACGAGAGCGTCACCATCGACGTCCAGCTGGCGATCGACGACTCGTCCGTGGCTCCCTTCTCCCTCGCGTCGGTGTCTGCTGAGCTTGTTGTGGAGGGGCAGCGCACCCACAAGCGGTGAGCAGGGGGAGAGAGGGCGGGGGGGTGGGGGTGGGGGGGAGGAGAGGGGAGAAAGGTCTAATTTCCATGGCTCCCTTCTCGCTCGCCTCAGTCTCTCCTGAACTTGTTGTGGAGCGGCAGGGCATGGTGCACCCACAAGCGGTGAGCAGGGTCGGTCGGAGGAAAAGGGGGTTATGGGAGGATAGTTTTGAGGCGCCTCAAAAGGGCGGTATGGGAAGAAGGGAAGGGCGGACGAAGGGGATGAGAAGGGGGAGAGAAAGGGCATGAGAAGAGAATGGGGGTAGAATGGGGGCTGTTAAGAGGAGGGATGAGAAGTGGGGGACAAGTAGGGGGTGGATGAGCAGATGAGCAGTGAGCAATCTCTTTGCGTCCGCTACTCACAACGCGCCGACGTACAACCTGGCTACCCTGTTGGGACTATGACGTGCTTTACTCCCAATAAGCACTCCCTCTCTGCGTCTCCTCTCCTCTCCTCTCCTCTCCCCTCCTCTCCTCTCCTCCCCTCTCCCCTCCTCTCCTCTTCTCCCCTCTCCTCCCCTCTCCTCTCCTCTCCTCTCCCCTCCTCTCCTCTTCTCCCCTCTCCTCCCCTCTCCTCTCCTTTCCTCTCCTCTCATCCCCTCTCCTCTCCTCCCCTCTCCTCCCCTCTCCTCCCCTCTCCTCCCCTCTCATCTCCTCTCCTCTCCTCTCCTCTCCTCCCCTCTCCTATCCTCTCCTCCCCTCTCCTATCCTCTCCTCCCCTCTGCTCTCCTCTGCTCTCCTCTCCTCTCCTCTCCTCTCCTCCCCTCTCCTCTCCTCTCCTCTCCTCTCCTCTCCGCTCCTCGCCTCATCTCCAATTCCTATCCTCGCCCGCTCTTTCCTTTCCGCTGCTGCCGTCCCTCCCAGCTTTTGAGTCGACTCAAAAGCCGCGTGTAATGAGTCTGCTTTTGAGTCGACTCAAAAGCAGTCTCCTCTCCTCTCCTCCCCTCTCCTCCCCTCTCCTCTCCTCTCCTCTCCGCTCCTCGCCTCATCTCCAATTCCTATCCTCGCCCGCTCTTTCCTTTCCGCTGCTGCCGTCCCTCCCAGCTTTTGAGTCGACTCAAAAGCCGCGTGTAATGAGTCTGCTTTTGAGTCGACTCAAAAGCAGTCTCCTCTCCTCTCATCCCCTCTCCTCCCCTCTCCTCTCCTCTCCTCTCCGCTCCTCGCCTCATCTCCAATTCCTATCCTCGCCCGCTCTTTCCTTTCCGCTGCTGCCGTCCCTCCCAGCTTTTGAGTCGACTCAAAAGCCGCGTGTAATGAGTCTGCTTTTGAGTCGACTCAAAAGCAGTCTCCTCTCCTCTCATCCCCTCTCCTCCCCTCTCCTCTCCTCTCCTCTCCGCTCCTCGCCTCATCTCCAATTCCTATCCTCGCCCGCTCTTTCCTTTCCGCTGCTGCCGTCCCTCCCAGGCGCAAGCAGGTGCGTCTGGTGCCGGGCTATGCGCCCTGCATGGCAGCCCAGGACAGCGGCACGGGGCAGTGGGCGCTGGGCGCCAGCCAGCAGCAGCAGGGGGGGGGCGAGGGGCAGTGGGCCGAGGTGCTGCTCCTGACGGACGAGCGGCTCACGCACAGCCAATATGCCGCATGGCGGTCGATCTGGTGCCTCCTGGGGTGAGTGTCTTGGGTGGGGTGGGAGGTGCTGTGGTGCTGCTGACAGGCGAGCGGCTCACTCACGCACAGTCAATATGCTGCATGGCGCTTGATCTGCTGCCTGCTGGGGTGAGCGGAGGGGGGGAAGTGGGGGAAGGGGCAAGCAAGCAAAGTGTGTGGGATGACTCAATTGCAGGCATCATGCTGGGTGGTATGGTGGTGGTCCAACGGTCACCTCCATCTGCACTTGTCCTTGGGGGTTCCTGGAACCCTCAATCCTCGCTTAATCTTTCCCACCCACACTCCCTCCCTCCCCAACCCCCCACCCAGGTTGCACCATGCAGTGTGGGACATCCGCCTGCAGAAGGGGCTGCTGGCACCAGACGCCACCACACCGCCCGGAGCATCATCACCATCAGCACCTGCCGTGGACCCCAGGTCACCAAACCCTCGATCACCCAAGCCCAGATCACCACAGAGCAGCAGAGACGAGCCTCCAGGATGGCTCTCCCGCCACGCGCTTGTGGTGCTCCCACACGCGCCCCCCGCCTCCAAGCTGCCCCCCCTCCTCCTCCGTGTGCTACCGCAGATGGTGTCAACCAGGGGAGGTGTATATGGGGCCGAGACCGTGGGTGTGCTTATAGGGGGCGTGACTGCGGGGCAGTTATCCCGGCATATGCTTGAGCTGGCGCAGACGGTCAGGACCCTGGAGGTGCCGCTTAACCTGAGCGTAAAAAACCTGAAGCACCTGAAGCACCTGAAGCAGCACCTGAAGGAGTTGACCCCAGGTGGTGGAGGAGTGGTTTCTGCTGGTGGGGTGATGTCGTGCTTCCTGCCGTTTGGTCAGAGGAGCCCAAGAGGTGGGACTGGGAGCGGCACCGGTGGCAGTGGTGCGGCCCTGGTTGCCACTGCACAAGCACAGAAGCTCAGGGTAAGCCTCGTGCTCCTCCTCCTCCTCTTCCTCCTGCTCCTCCTCCTCCTCCTCCTCCTCCTCTTCCTCCTGCTCCTCCTCCTCCTCTTCCTCCTGCTCCTCCTCCTACTCCTCTTCCTCCTGCTCCTCCTCCTCCTCTTCCTCCTGCTCCTCCTCCTCCTCTTCCTCCTGCTCCTCCTCCTCTTCCTCTTGCTCCTCCTCCTCCTCTTCCTCCTGCTCGTCCTCCTCTGCCTCCTTCTCCTCCCCCTTGTCCTTCTGTTTCTTATATTTCCTCTTTCCCCTTAGGCTTTCAAAGGTACTGCAACACATGCCAGTGAAGGCTTGCTCACTCTCTCGTCCCCTTCCCCCGTCTCCCTACCCCCGCCCCACCTCCCGCCCTCTCATACGGGCCAGGATGATTTGCGCAGCGAGTTTCCCGAGTATCGTCACTTTGTGGAGGTGCAACTTCTGCAGGAGCAGCAGCCGCGGCAGCAGCTGACGCAGCAGCAGAAGAAGCAGCAGACGAAGCAGCAGAGGAAGCAGCAGGAGAAGGATCAGAAGGAGCAGCAGGAGGGAGGGGGCAGCGTGGCTCGAGTGAGAGTCTTTCGAGGCCACCTCCCCTCACTCTTCCGCCTTCACGCCCTCCCCCCCGCTGCTGACGTCACTCTGCCATCCACTTCCGATACTCTCGCCGCCCCCCTGCCGACCACTACCTGCCAACCCGCCGCCACCCACTCCCTCCCCTCCTTTCCCTCCTCCTCCCCCCCCAGCCTCTCCCGACCTCCCCGCTTCTCCGCATCATCCGAACCTCCGGAACTCAGCCTGGTTCGGGAGAGGTCTGGAGGGAGGCTAGGGGGGGGCGTGCGAGGGAGGGTCAGGGGATATTCCAGGGATGGGGAAGCGGAGGGGAGTGAAGTGGGGGGGGCGGAGGCTTTTAGCTATGGCGGTATGGCATCACCTACAGCATCCGCAGGAGCATCAGCAGGAGCAGCAGCAGGGGGGAGGGGAGGGTCTGTTGGTGTGGCGCTGAGCAGTCCCAGGGGTGTTGCCATCCCTCCCAACTGCTACCGTGCGTGGATTCAGGGCCAGGGGCTGGGGCAAGGGCAGCGTTTAGGGTTGGAGCAGGGACCTGGTTTGGGGCTTGCTCAGGGTCAGGGAGGGACTCCAGGAAAGCATGGTAACCGGCTATTCTACTCCCTCCCCTTTGGGCCTGCAAAGGGGAAGGCGAGTGGGGGGGGTTGGGAAGGGATAAAGGCACTAGGCGGAGGGGCGAGAGGGAATCCGAGCAGAAACACGAGTGCTGCTGATTCTAGCGTGAATGTGCCCAAGTCTTGGTCTGACATGCCGAGGAGCCAGAGGGGCGGGATGGCAGCGGCGGCAGGTGAGGGCTTGGCGGGGGGGATGCTGTCCAGGAAGGCGTTGACTGATGTGTCGGACAGGCAGCGGCTGGGGAAGGGCGATCTGAGGCGGCTGGGACGGCAGAGCGAAGAGGGGCAGTGGACGGAGCAGGAGCAGCCGTGGCAGTTGCAGTTGCAGCAGCAGCAGCAGCAGCAGCAGCAGCAGCTAGGAATTCAGCAGCAGCAACAACTACTACCTCAGCAGCAACGGAAGCAGCCGAAGCAGCAGCCGGGCCTACCCCCACTCTCCCCTCGGCCCTCAATAAACCTCCCCCTCCCACCCACTCAGCCTTGGCAACAGTTACCGTTGCAGCAGCAGCAAACAGCCTTCCAACAGTCTCTGCCCCTCGGCCCCCACGCTGTTGCTCCCCCCAGGCTGCCATCTGACGCCTCTTGTGCGTCAGGCCCAGTGTTTCACCACACGCACTCCCACCCCTGGCTGCAAGAACCAGCACTGCTCCACCAGCAGCACCAGCAGCACCAGCAGCACCAGCAGCAGCAGCAGCAGATGCAGCAGCTGCAGCAACAGGTGCCATCCTCTGTCTTGGTAGCAGGTAGCTTCAGTGACTCAGATGGTTCAGCCGGGCAGCAGCAGCTACGCACCACCCACTCTCTCCCACACCACTTCCGTACCCCGGCTGCCGAGCTTGGGTTCGCTGGTTCGGGGGGCAGCAGCGGGGAGAGCTTTTGGGGCAGCGATGGGGGGGCGGGTGACGGCCCAAATGCACATGGCGGCACGAACTATCTGAACGTTCATCAGCAGGCTTCCCCTGGCAGTACTGGTTACCACCAGAATCAACAGTATGGCAGCAGCAGCAGCAGCACAGGGTATCGCAACGAGGTGCTAGGTGGTGGTAGCGTTGATGATGATAGGGGTTACGATGGTGGTCCTGCTGCTGCTGCTGCTGCTGCAGGTGGTGGTGCTGTTGGCGGTGGTGGCGGTAGAGCAAGAAGAGGGCAGGCAAGGGGCCCATCCAAGGGCAAGAAGGTGTTGAGTGGCCCGCTGCTGTCCCGGGGCAAGAGGCACGGCAACAGGCGCGCTTGGATGGGGCGGACAGGGGGGAGCAGAGGGGATGGAGGGGGAGACAGTGGGGAGGGGCACGCTTGGGGGGATGGGGAGAGGGGAGCAGGTGAGGGAGAAGGGTCTGGGCAGCATGTTAGCAGCATGAACAGTGACATGCACATGAACAGTAACACGCACATGAACAGTGACTTGCACATGAACAGTAACGCACAGATGAGCAGTGCTGCTGACATGCAGAAGATGATGTCCATGAGCCTGCCTGGGTCTCTCCTCCAGGCATTCAACCCCGGCGGTCAGTCCACCCCCTCCACCCATCCATCCACCGTGCGTCGCACCTACACCGACAACTCTAGAGCCTCCTCCCAGCCCTGGCACCACCACCACCAGCACCAGCAGGGGCAGCAGCAGCAGCAGCAGGGGCATCAGGGGCAGCAACAACAGTTCCTGCAGCAGCAGCCGCACCAACAGCAGCAGCTGCCGCAGCAGCCGCAGCAGCAGCAACTGTTTGTGCACGAACAAACAGATCTGAGCCCAAGCCAGTCAGGCAGGCTCGGAAACAGCCTCGGCAGGGTCCCGAGGCTGATTCCCCTGGGCGGGGAAGGCTCGGAGTACGGAGCTTCGGTGATGGGCGTGCTGGCAGCGCTGCCCATGCAGGTGAAGGTGGATGTGGTGTTCAGAGTGGTGCAGTGGGGTGCCAGCCACTTTGACTTACCGTCATTTGAGGGGTTCGTGGGAACGAAGCCGAAGCGCCTCCCCCTGCTGCTGCTGGTGTCGCTGGCTATTTATGAGGATTTGATTCTGGATGTGCACAGCGGGTGGCGTGACTTGCCGCACTGCGCCGCCCTGCTGCAGGTGATAGAGAGGAGGGAGCGGGCGGCGGCGCCTGTCTGGGACTGGCCGCCCACTCAGCCATGTGTGGATGCGCTGATGGCGCCGCTCATGCTGCTCCACACCAACCAGATGCTGCCACGTGTCACCAGTTCCTGTTCTGCTTCCTCCCCCACCTCCTCTTTCCCTTATTCCTCCTCTTCTTCCTCATCTATCACGCTCACACCAGACCAGCAAACAGCAGCATCACAATACGTGGCACGGGCGGCAAAGCTCTTTGGCGCTGACGTGGTACCTGCTGATGTGTCGATGCCAGATGGCTGCCAGCTGGCAGGCATCCGGCAGCAGCTGGAGGAGGCGCGGGCGGTGCTGCAGCCTCATTGGTGGGAGGAGAACCGGGCGGCAGAGGAGGAGGTGGGGGTGGTGGTGGTGGATGGGGAGGGGGGAGGGGAGGTGTGAGGAGGGCGGAGTGAGACGGCTGGGCCGGGGTTGTAGGCTTGGAGGGTGGAGGCGGGTGTGGGAGGCGAATGCCCAACAGTTTCTCATCCGCCTCGAAAAGATACTCCTCATGCGGGTGGGAAGTGAATGCCCAACAATTTTTGCTGGCAATTGAGGCGTTAAAGTAGCAACGGGTGTGCTTGAATGATGGCAAGTGAGGGGCCCGCAGCTTGCAGTGGCTGGGGAAGACACTTCGTCATTCATTTGGGGGCTACACATTCTTTCTTTCAAACAAAATAAAGAACCAACTTGATAAAGAAATTGATGCTTCTATTAATGTCACACTTCTCTTTGATAAAAAACCTATTGGAGTGCACAGCATACAATCTGAGACCACAGGGATGCTTACCATGCCAAGGCTAGCGATGTATGCTTAGCATTTGCGGAGCCCAAAAGACGACGCTGCTGAGCCAATGCTTGCTCAGCTTATGGGTTGATGTGATGGCATGAGACAAAGAGTATGTCATCAAATGCTGCTGCTTGCTTGTCACGGTACACAATTTCAAGAGGTATCACCACCACAGAGAGATGCTTTCTTTCACCTGCGTACTTTGCTTGTTACATAAAGCAGGTTGCTGCTTCTGAATATCTCATCCAATCCAACCACTCGTGATACTCCTGCTGCAACCTTGCTGCTGACTCTCTTGCTGCTGCTGCTCCCATCCCATCTATGCTTGAGAGCCTCTGACTTACCTGCAAGGCTGCAACCCCCACTCCGTCCCCCCACCTCTCTCCACCTCATCCCACCACCAGGTTGAGGATCCGCCCCTTCACGAAGATGGTTTTCCGCAGGCTCTTCCCGTCCAGCAGCCGGGCGACGTTGGGGTGCGCCACGGCCGCTGCCACGGCTGCCTCCTGCTCCACCCCTGCTGGCAGCTGCAGCGTGGCGCGCACCTTGCCGTTCACCTGCACTGGCAAGGCGATTGTGTCCTCCACCAGGTATTGGGGCAGGGCCTGTGGGTCAGGGGGAGAGAGGGTACAAGTAGGGCAGATCGTGCAACTAACACAGCTGCAGCGTGGAGAGCACCTTGCCGTTCACCCGCACTTGCAGGGCGATTGTGTCTTCCACCAGGTGTTGGGGCAGGGCCTGTAAGGTAAGGGAAGGGGCAGAAAGGGCGCAAGTCAAGAAGGCAGGTGCAGTGTGGCGCGCACCTTGCCAATCACCTGCACTGGTAGGAATTCCGTGTCCGCCACCAGGCTCTCCGGTAGGGCCTGGAGGAAAGGCAGGGGGAGGGAGGGAGGGAGGGAGGGAATGGGAGGAGGGAGGGAGGGAGGGAGGGAGGGAGGGAGGAGGGAGGGAGGGAGGGAATGTGCAGGTGTGTTGGAGCTGGAACACACGTGCAGCCACGGCCACCACCAGGCTCGTAGCCCAGGGGTGAAGAGAACCAGGCGCTGCCAGAGCTGCTCTGCCGAGTGCTTCATAGGCCATGGTCCATGGTCCTAGCAAACCATGTGTTGTTCATAGTCCCACCTGCAGCCACGGCTCGTGGGCAAGGGAGGAGGAGTGCCCCACGCGAGGGAGGTGGAGTGTCCCACCTGCAAACCTGTGCCCCAGGCGCTGCCAGAGCTCCTCCGTGTGGTTCATCGGCTAGTAAGGCCTTGAAGAAGACATGACAAGGACAGCAGAGTAAGCATGCCCCACCTGCGGCCACAGCTCGTAGGCGAGGGAGGAGGAGTGCCCCAGGCGCTGCCAGAGCTCCTCCGCCACGTGCGGGGCAAAGGGCGACAGCAACAGCACGAGCGGCCGGGCGGTGTCTTTCGGCATGGAGGGCCACTTGTAGGCGGCGTTGGTGAACTCCATCATGGCTGCTATGGCCGTGTTGAAGCGCATCGCCTCCACCTCCTCCGTCACCTGGCGGAAGATGGGCAAAGAATGAGAAGGAGAGAGTGATAAGGAGAAAACGGGTGCAGGCAGTGGACTACGTCCCCAAGTGTTGAATTGAACCGCACCGCACCGCCTCCACCGCACCCGTCACCTGGCGGGTGGTACGGAGACAGTAAGAAAGGATGGTAAGCAGCATTGCCACGTGTTGCCTGTGGTAAGAAGAAACTAGTAGAGAATTTACGTCCCCACGAGATGGAGAGGGGAGGACTGCCCTGTGGCGGGGTCCGCCTGCCCCCCACCAGCGCAGGAGTGTGAGCAGGCGGACCCCGCCACAGGGCAGTTCTCCCCTCTCAACCCACCTTGTGTGTGAGTGTAAACCCACCTTGTGTGTGCGTGTAACCCACCTTGTGTGTGCACCCCGCACGCATGCATGAAGGCCCCTAAATCAGTTGAGTCATGTAGAACCCACCCAAAGCAAGCAAAGCATGCTGTAGAACGCCCTTACCTTGTGTATGCAAGCATGCAGTGCCCTCAGCTGTTCCTCTGTGGGGGCATCATCCACAACAGTGGCAGCCAGCCCGGTGGCCGGGTACTGCCCCGTGGCGGGGTCCGCCTGCCCCACCAGCAGCCGCCACACCCTTGCCAGGAACCGGTGCACGCCCTCCACGCCCTTGGTGCTCCACACCTTGGTCTCCCTGGGGTGAGACGACGAGGGAGGAAGTGGGGGGCACGGGAGGGGGGGGGGGGGAGGAAGGATGGGGGGAGCAGTGCTCTGAGTGCCTCACCAGCAGCCGCCACACCCGCGCCAGGAACGGCTGCACGCCCTCTACGCCCTTGGTGCTGCACACCTTGGTTTCTCTGGGGTGGGGGAAGGAAGCGGGGTGGGGGGGAGGGGAGGAAGCCGGGTGGGGGGGGAGGATGGGGGGGGAATTCTCTCAGTTGCCCCACCAGCAGCCGCCACAACCATGTCAGGAACCGGCGCACGCACGCCTTCCGCGCCCTTGGTTGGTGCTCCACACCAGGGTCTCCAAGGAGTCGAGGATTGCACCGGAAACAAGGCGAATGGGGGGGTGTGAGTTTGGAGATGAGCACCAGCCTGATGACATGAAATTTCACCTGGCGGCCCAAGAAATCACCTGAGAACTCAGCTGAGCGGGCCCAAGGGGGCCAATAAATCCACCTGAAATCTCACTTGAGAACCACCAGAGGGCTCACCTGAGGGGGCCCATGAACATCTCGTAGAGGCGCAGCGAGTCGGCCCCAAAGTCAAACACCACATCGTCGGGGTTCACCACATTCCCCCGTGACTTGCTCATCTTGTGCGCCCGGGCAGACACACGCACTCCCGGATCCGCCTTTAGCACATAACATTCCCCCTGCTTCTCCACCGCCTCATCAGGCACCCTCTCCGGAACGCACTCCCCCGGGCGCTTGGCAGCCGCGTCGGGCGACACGTAGGCTCCGGAGGAGGCGTCCCGGAAGGCGGTGAACTCGACCTCTCCGAGGATCATGCCCTGGTTGACGAGGCATTGGAAGGGCTCCTTGGTGGACACCGCTCCGATGTCGTACAGCACCTGTTTTAAGGGGAGGGGAAGGTGGTTGGAAGGGGGGGCTGGGAAGTTCGAGTGTTCAATTGTTGTTCATTCTGTTTGTTTTAAGTCAGGTGTGAAGCTCAACTGCTTGAGGTCTCTCAACCCTCATGTCTCTCAACCCGTATGTCTCTCAACCCGTATGTTTATCAGCCGTCGTGTCTCTCGCTCACCTTGTGCCAGAAGCGCGCATACAGCAGGTGCAGCACCGAGTGCTCTGCTCCCCCCACGTACAGATCCACAGGGCCCCAGTACCTGATGGTGGGGGATTGGGGAGGGGGAGGAGTTAAAGACTACATCGCAAGCCAGCCATACAGGCGCACAGGATGTACATCACTGTCACTTCCCCCACGGACCCGGTGCTGTGTCCCTGGGGGCAGATACTGCACGGTAGGTTATGGCACGAGCAAGGAGTGGTGGCGCAGATTGGCACGTAATCTGCGCCAATCTGGGGGGAGACAGACAGACTGGGGGGGTGATGTGATAACGCCAGGGGGAAAGCTAGGGAGCTGCATGCATGCACGTGCCTGCGCACGTGCATGTGCACGTGCTTCCCTTGTCCTTGGATTGGAAGGTTTGTGATGTGCGCTCAATTTCCATGCGTGCAGTGCAATGCCTGTGCGTGCGTACTTCTCCTTTTGCGGATCCACGAGTGCGTTGGAGTTAGCAGGGTCCATGAAGCGAAGGTAGTACCTGCCAGCAAGGCATGCATGCACGCAACGCAACCCAAGCACACATGGAGGCACAACATGCATGGGAGAATGAACAGCATGCAGGCCAGGCCAGGCCATGCTACCAGGCTAGCAGGCATGGTGAACTTGGCATGTATGCAGGACAGCACGAACAGCAACACTAGTTGGGTCATTACCAGCAATAACAAAATCTACCAGAGAGTAAAGCATCTCACCACAACTCAATGCATCGTTACCAGCAGGAGCCGGCCCATTGGGGCATGGTGTTGGTTTCCCTCCTAGCTGGTAGCCCAGAGGCCGGATCTGTTGTGCTCATCTGAAGGAACGGGGAGCGGGGGGGGTGGAGGGGAGGAAGAAGAGGGGAGGGGAGGAAGAAGAGGGGAGGGGAGGAAGAAGAGGGGAGGGGAGGGTGAGGACAGGAAGGTAGAAAGACCCACCATGCAGTCAACCTTCGCCTTCAGCACGCCCACCACCCACCCACCACCCACCACCCACCCACCGCCCACCACCCACCACCCACCACCCACCACTCACCACTCACCACTCACCACTCACCACTCACCACTCACCAGCCACCAGCCACCAGCCACCAGTCACCAGCCACCAGCCACCAGCCACCAGCCACCAGCCACTGCCCGCCCACCACCCACCAGCCACCAGCCACCACCCTCCACCCACCACCCACCATCCACCGCCCACCACCCACCACTCACCGCTCACCGCCCACCGCCCACCGCCCACCACCCACCACCCAGTGCCACCGCCCACCACCCACCACCCACCCACCACCCACCACTCACCACCCACCGCTCACCGCCCACCGCCCACCGCCCACCACCCACCACCCAGTGCCACCGCCCACCACCCACCACCCACCCACCACCCACCACTCACCACCCACCGCTCACCGCCCACCGCCCACCGCCCACCACCCACCACCCACCGCCCACCGCCCACCGCCCACCCACTCCCTCCCCAATCAACCACCCAGGTCTTCGTTGTGGACCTACCCACTCCGTGGCTTTAGCCAGGGGCGGCTCTCCAGTGGGGTTGAAGTCAGCCATCTCTGGCAGCTCATGCTGCCCCACCCCACGCCCACCACCTGCTCGTGCCTGCCCTCTCCCCCGCCCCCCTCTTAGCTAGC